TAACCTCTTGAGAGAAGGTCAAACATGGCTTACAATTCTTGACTGTCCCATGACACAGAATACACGCGTGTAAACACTTAAACCAAATATGTTCACAGCACAAGTCGACAAACTCATTGTGGGATGCAATCGCTGCTTCTCGCTGCATATTCCATTTCACTTCTGCATAAACTTCCCGTGTGTGTCGCCGTCGTGAGAAGACAACAAACACCAACAATCCTCTTGCAGCCTTTCAGTGGAGAAAAAAAACAACATAGATTCTCACATGAACCCGTTGTCCTTTCTTCCCTTGGCCACCTCTTCTGCTCCGCTCTGCTCCCCCCCCACCTCACCCGGCTCCCCCCACCCCTTCTTTCCTAGCCCATCCCGGCTCGCAGAAGGTGAAGCAGTGCAAAGAAAAGGGATTGCAGCTTTTCCGATTCTTCGCTGTTATTAACTGCCATTTGTCCCCACAGAGGGCTGTCCATTCCATTAACCCAACTGATGCTCTTTTCTCATGGAAATCAGCCTGCTGTTGCCTCCTCCACCAGCAGCCACCACCACTGCCCACAGTGACAGCAAGGAATTGTGGGGGATTTTTCAAAGACGAAAGACCTCCCTCCATCTCAAAAGCAGCTTTAGCTCACACACAAACACGCGAACACATTAGCAAATGTGCCGCGCACCATCAATAAACACGGGTGAGATCTCAAAAACGCCCGCGTCACGAGCTTGCAAAGTTCCGCCTCCGACCACACGAGGCAGACTAGCGCAGGATGCAACTTAATTAAATGCAATTTACAATAGATGCTTTCATATTTGTCCGAAACAGTAAACGCAGGTTAGCATTCGTTTGCTAAGCTAGTCAAATTTGTGTTTTATTATATGAAAAAAAGGAAAAGGAAAAAAAGGGAGGGTACCAACCAAATTTCTCATTTGGCGTTCATTTCTAACGGCAAAGGGTAAATTATTACTCAGTTTGAGGGCAGACTTGGTCCAAGCGAGACATATTCGGTAATTTCATTAGTCAGAGGTGACGAGACTACGGGTAAGTCTATTGACGGCTTGAAACTCGTCAGTAAAAATTAATAAATAAACCGTGTCAAATTTAAAGTTAAGTTAAATATTTATTTATTTATTTAAAATTTCATTTGAAATACAATTTAAGACGGACTGCCTTGTGCTGTCCCAAATTTCTGGAGTCCATAAATGATATATAATTGCGCTTGAGTCCCAACTCAAAACACATCACTAGTTTGTGACACCGTCGCGATTGTGTGACGTTACCACAAGAGTCATTTGGGGTTTTTTGCTCTCTTTTTTTAAGAATGTTAATTTACTTCGGAGTTTGAAATTATTTGCCATGGCTAAACAACGAATGGAATTGAACTCAACATCACAGTGTAGTAGAGTGCAATTTTCTAATCGCAAAAGGCCGCAATTTCAGAAAAAAAACAAAAAGAATGCTTCCTTTCGAACAACAAAGTTGTTGATACACTGTCAAACTGGTATTTACTGACTGACTGCTTAACAGTTGAATTTTATGCTCATTAGCCTGCCAGTTATTCCCATTTCCATATTCAAACGCTTCAGGGGGTTGTGTTTGAACGCAGTGCTTTCCCCGCGTCCATAGATTATATTGAGACATGGGTGCCAGTCAAACATTCCTCTGTGACAATACAGGCGTAATATGCAATGACCCGTTCTGACTCGGATCTGAAAATTCTCATTTGGCGTTCATTTCTAACTGCCAATTTACGTCTCAATTTGAGTCACCAACCCTTTGTGCGCAGCCCTAATAGTAATACAGATTAATTTATTCCTTGCGCTTGTTAAAAAATATAATATACAATAGAAATAATGTTACATCACAAACGTGGTACAAAAATTGCAATTTGATCATTCTTCAAACTGGTTCAGTCCTACTATGTACAATAATGTCTTAACATTTTTTTAGACATTTGAAAACTTAATTTAAGACCTTTTCATGCCAATTAAGGCTTTGTTTTTAGATTCATGGCTTCACTGCCTGTGACGACGTTTTGAGAATCTGCAGCAACTCTTGTGGAGTAACAACGACCAAGGCACTGTCTTGTGATAATAACTCACTTCCATTTCCTTATTTTGTCACTGCAGGCCTCAAAGTGAGAGGAGCGAGTTAGAGCAACTCTAACGTCCCTCATCTTTGTGCACCTCCACATACTGTTAAAGCATACCATGTCAACATTTTTAGGAAGTGTTATTGTTTTCCTTTGGATGCCATCGACCAGTGATCTACACAGTCATGCAGCTTGCTTTGAATTGCTCGCAGATTAGATGGTTCTGGCTTAACTACCTTGACTTGACATCAGGAGATTGGGCACCTTTATGGAAAGAACTACAAGTTGCACATTCTGTCGACAGGCCAGAGCAAGCGTGCGCGCATACGTGCATACATATGATGGCCATCTATGACTGCATTTGTAAAATAGTAACTATCCTCTCTTTAGGAGGAAAAAGGGGCCCAATATTGCCAACAGTGAAAAAAATGTGAGTAATTGATCCCCCCTCCCCCCGACTACAATGTTAAAAATTACTCACAAAAAAATGATCCCAAAACACTTGAATTCCATTTCAAAATTATTCTTACCCTTAAAAAAATGGAAGGCTTAATATTTGATTAAAAAAAGGCACTGGATTGCACATATATTTGCCTTTGCAACCTTGAAAAAAATCACTTGTCAAACAATAATGAGACCTTTGTCGTTTGTTAGAGTGTACTTTTCAAGAGCAAAAAGATCGAGAGCACATTCAAAGACTCTCTGGAATTTCCAATAACAACCCAGACTAACCTTAGCTCCTCACTCAAAGATCTTAACAGATGAGATTATCTGTTCGACAGCAAATCTCCCTTCAGGTTGAGGGTATGTGGTCCCGGTATTTCACTTTTTTTCTCCTCTTTTTTTCTAAGTGTTATTAATTTTGCATTTTCGTCATTTTGCATCATCATTTTGAGTTTAAATCGCACGTGTCGTGAAAAGAATATCCAAATGTACTGTTTCAGCCAATGAGAGTGTAGTTTTGCCAGCCCCTGATTGACAGTTGTGCTCTGTCAGTGGATGACCAGCCCGCTGCTCACCTTGCTGGTCACTTCAGCGTTTCCCGTGCTATAATGTAAAGATAGCGGAGTGGTATCCAGACATTTGTTGTGCGCCCAAGTTCCAAAACAGCATTAATTGAGTCACCCAGGTATAAAAAAGAAGCAAAGCAGACAGCCAGCAGCCATGTTCATAACAAAAAATAAGTAACCAATGTAAAAAACCTGAGTACATGTTAATGCTTAAGGCAATGTCATACTATAAGCTTAAGAGACATTTTCAACACATGATGAAGTTTGTTTAGCATTGAGCATTTCAGCATTGAAATGGCAATGTACTGAATTACGGCAGCTTCATCAACGTCATCGTCGCTGTCGTGAGTACACATTGTTGTGTTGGTGGGTTTGTGATTCATTGATCTTACTTTCTCAATATATTATAATACTGTATATTTCTTTTCAATGTGTTTTTGTATCGTTTTAATAGTGTGTTTAAAGATCTTTAACAAATATTTAACTCCCACCAATACTATATCATGTCTCGGGTGTGTTTCGATATCACAGTGTTCTGGAACATATCCTTTGTGATGAGGGGATACAGGATTTACTGTCCTCTACTTCTTTGAAACCAATTCCTACTTTGCGGGACTATGACGCCATCTCGTGACCTCTTTGGTGTTTCAGAAAGAGCACAAAGACTACGAATAAGTGAGTTTTTTAGCAAAGAGTTGGGATAGGTTCCACAGAAATAAAATTTTAAATAGAGGAATTTATGAGTAACCACGCACAAGGTGGGATTTACTGTACAGTTGTGAAATACGTAAATACAGGATGCATAACTTAAAAATATTGTCATTACTCCTAAAATCCCAAGTAACATAAACAAATTTTATTTTATCACATCAATAATTGTCATATCAATGGACAGAATATTTCCATATCCACAGTGATAGATTACATTTGAATACAAAATATAAAAACATTTCCAAATATGATCAAATCGTGGTAAATCAACACCCTGGAACAGACTGTGTTCAACCTTTGGGAATACTTTGTTAAAAATAAATAAATACATAAAATAAAAAGCTTACATTGATTTAAGTGGTTGCATAAGCGTGTAACTAGCAATATTATAAGCAACCTCTCAGTATGTATGTAAATATGTAGCTTGCAGTTGTGTAGCTAACTGCAAGCTACAAAAATAAACATGTAGAACTGATACAATAATACTGCAAATGACTACTGCCCTGTTAAGACACCCTCCACTTGTTCTACTTCCAAGGAAAAAAAACACAGTCGCGCTCACGCGCGTGCACGCGCAGGCCAAGGGAACAAAAACATCCGAGGAGCCGCAAACATGACACAAGCCACGAGGAGGACAGTTAGTTACATACGTGTGGTCCACATATCTTTCCAAGCTTCATGAGCAACGTGACAAGTGAACGCACCATCACCACAAAATAAATCCCACACTTTAATACACTGCTACCAACGAGCCTCAATTAAAATCCACTTTTAACATACTTTTACACCCTCCCATAATCTCGAAAATACACGGAGGGACTTTATATTCCCAAAATGGCCTGAAACTCAACAACTTGACGTAAAATAACAATAATAAAAGGGCTCTACTAGCGTGCCCCAAACTTGTCGCGATCACTTTTTTAGCAACTATTTGTAGCGCTGTTGTTAAATATCTAGTCACACACACACACTTACACGCACACACATAAATACGCCACAAATGACGCAAAGGCCAATGGCGCTTATTTAGTAATACCAACACATTCATAACAAGGCAATCGTCGCGCAAGTCGAAGTGCACGTCAGCTGGACGCCGTCAAAAGTTGCGTAAAAGGTTTCCCAAACACGCACAAGGACAACAACGTGCAAACACAATACGCGAAGGAGGGGGAAAGGGGGAAAAAAGAGGCAGTTTACCCACCAAAAAGTTTCCAGCACTGCATTAGTCAACTTTCACTTGGAGCCCCGGTAAACGTCCATCCCGAGTAGAAAGCCACCATGGGAGAGACCCACGCCGCCAACTCCACGCTCTCTCTTCGATGTCTTCTTTACTTGTTTATAAAATAATTTTAAACGACTTTTCCCCCCTCCCAATAATTTAGATATTCGGGGCCTGGGAGTGAGTGTGTGTGGCTCTCCTCAGGCTGCAACCGAGTTAGGGGGCGGTAAGCATTGTGGGAGTGTGACGTCAGGCCACTTTCACAAACTTTTTTTACACTCGGGGATAGATTACTGTGTTGCTTTTTTAACACCCACCGGCAGACAGGCTCGCGTACGATCTTGTCAGTTAAAACACCTGCACATTGTCACCGTATTCTGTTACAAACAATACATTTGTAATAAATTGGCAGCGTTAAAACTCAACACAAAATTAAAATTCGTTTTAGAAATCACTTGACTTCAGACCTCAACCAATCCACTCGAACGTGTTTTGAAATATTCCAAATATTCCGATCCTTTAGCCATGATACAATCATCGCCGGCCAATGACAAGCATGCCCAGTATCTCAAGTTATTAACAAATTATCACCATGTGCGTCAGATAAAAATAACAGTTCACAATTACATAAGCATGCTTTGTAATAACGATGACCTTTACTACCCACGCTTTAAAATATATTGTACACTGTATACACATGTGAATTAATCACCGACCAAATTAAGCATAATTACGGATTTATTGGAGTACCATTTTTAAATGTATGTTTCAGAATTTAAAATAAAATAAAATATGTAATTAATAGCTGATGGGACAGCATGGAGGCTTAAATTTAGTTTAAACTAAAAACCAATTTTAACATGCAAATCTTTCACCTGCTCATTGTCTTTGCATTGTGTCTGAAATTATATAAAATATCACCTTGCCAACAGATCAATAAACAAGCAAAATAAATAGACACTCACTTTGGTTGAATTCAGAGTGCAGAAAAATCACAAAGAATGCTGGAAAATTGCTCGAATTGGTCTTTGAGTGGATTGCACTGAAATGTCTGAGATTATTCGATGAAAGCATTAACGTAAACAAGCAGACGTTGTAATAATGATCAGATTATTTCTATTACTATTTTAAAGACTTTCACATCTCAAGGCCCTTGTGTTTACATTTTAATTGATAGAAATGAGTAATGCAGGAATTAAAATCAATTAACGTGCTGAGCCCACATTTTGTCCCACTTTGCCTGCATAATTCTTGTAGTTCTTCAGTGTACGTCAGTGCATGTGTCGTGCGACTGTGTTGTCGAGGGGGGGTGAAAGAATTACTTCCAGGGCACATCAACTCGTTTCCTCGTCACCCCCTCCTCTTCGAAGCCCACCACAAGCTGATGGAGCCCGCAAGGGGAACATGTTTGTGCAGCCAGGGAGCGTGGGGGTGGGGGAATCGACCGTGATGCCTTCAGGCTCCTCCAGTTTACGCAAAATTAAATTCCATTAAAAAGATCCATTAATTAAAAGATTTTTGGAAAACAATTCCACCCACTTGCATTTTATATGTTCACGTGTATTTTTCACACATTAAGCGCAAATAACCGAATCTATACTCTGAGTTTAGAATCTCATTTGATGAGCAAACATTTCTCTCTCTTTTTTTTTTTAATTATACGGAAAACCCAGATTTCCTCTGCAGTTAGACACCTTCATATTTCTTCATCATACGAATAATAAATATATTCGTTTCATGTTTGTCAGATTCATTTCTTTTTTCTTTTCGAAAGTCATATGAAAATTTCATATTTTCGACTGTTATTGAAGGCACCGGAGGCCTCTTTCTCTAGTGGACACGCCCCCAAAGCGTGACCGCTGTACCTGGTGCTGGCAACTAAATCCTGCTTTTTCACGTAAAGAAGTGAGCGAAAACTGTGACCGTAGTCAGTATTTGGGACTTAAAATGTACAGGTATTGTTTTAATGGATTTATTCTGTATTTCTACTTATGGAGGGGTTGTTTTTTGTTGTTGGTTTTTAAAAATCGGAAGTCGTGTAAAGTGTTCAAAGTTTTCGTTCCGTTCCTATATAATATACAAGAGAAGAAAAATCAAATGAAAAGGCATCTTCAATTACCACAGTGATGGAGTAAAGACGTTTTAGAAATTTTGAGGATGGTAGTTCGATTGTTTGGATGTTTTTAAAAAATCTTATTTTTAATAAACTGATTTTGATTAAATGGAAATTAAGAACAATTTAAAGTTGAACACAGAATGGAACCTTTGTTCGATTGTGAGAACAATTCGCACTCAATTTAAAATAATATTTTTGTCAAACCAGATTATTCTTACCTTTTAAAAAATGGAATATTAAAAAAAATATATATTAAAGTGATTGTTCATACAAAATGTAAAGTGGAGGAAATAAATGTTGAAATCTTCAAATGACAAATACAATCATATTACTCATTTCTGGAATTCAATATAATGACATCACCATTTGACGTTCATCCTTAAATACATTTTTGCCAGGTTGCAGTTCTTTTTAAGGAAATAATTCAAAAAACAATAGATGAAAAGGAATACATTAAATGTATGACATTATTTTAACACAAAATATACAAAGAGGAATTTTTCTGATATGAAAGTAAACCAATAAACGTTTGAAAACAATGTTGTGAATAATTAATTTGGCTTTTGAAAAGTCAAACATATAATCTAAAACTTGCTAAGATTTTGGAATGTAAATGACATTATGCAGTTAAATCCTGGCTCTAATTTCTGCTTCTCGTCCAGTTGCACAAGGACATTTTCATTTGTCCAAGCAATCCTCCACGACTAAATTATTCTTACGCCATAAAAATGAACACCTCCTCATATATCGATCGGACTTTGGTTACAAATAATTCTGCATTATCGATTGAGAAATAACGGAAAATGTAAAATTCAAATTTCCCCCTTTGATTGACACAAAGTTTCAAATTGTTTCAAGTAGTTTCTACTTGTGTGTGTGTTTTTAAAATATCCTCCTATGGTGGAGGTAACAAAAAACTACTGTGGACAAAAATAGTTGTCAGGGAAGTAAAAGAATATTTGTTTTTAATTACAATGCTGATATCCTCAAGGTGAAGCTTCCATTCTGCTGAAACAGTCTATTTTGTTTGTGTTGCACACAAAGATCACAAACACGTAGGCATGAGAGGAGGGATGTCAGAGTACGGTGGAGTCCAAAGAGTGCTGCCCCTCCTGAGCGACAGAGAAAGAAAATATGTAGAATTTATTCGACATTATTTCATAAAGTAGCTGTGCGAAATAAAAGTACAGTTTATGGATCCAAAGAGATGCTTGCGACCATCATGAGGATAAGTGGATGGATGGATGGATGGATAATGGGAAAATTGGCTTGCTATCATTTTCGAAAAAGAAATAAGGGTTTACAGGCCTAATTATTCCTTCTATGGTCCCCAAACTCAAAGATATAAGTTTAAAAAAACAATAACAACGACAACAACAACTCAGCTTTGTTGTGCTAACTAAAAGTACTGTTTTGCCCGAAAAAATACAAATTGTGTTTTTTGTTCTCTCAGCGTCTGACCTCTACTGCCTCGTTCTTTTCAGAGCGCATGTTGCTGATCGAACAGTGTCGTTCCAATCACATAATCAAACACATTAAATGAATTTTAGCCGGCTTTTTCTGAAGAGTTCAAACTTGGCAAAAAGACTGTGCTCGATTGTTCTTTGTGTTTTTTCACTTTGTCATATTCTTGTCACATCACTTATGTGTCTTTATGTAGTCTAACGGCACTGATGTCAGCGCTGAACTGAGGAAAAGCGAGACACACCCTCCCCCAGTGCTGTTGTCACTACTCAGAGGTATTAAATGTATTTAATTCTTCATTCCATGAATATTCTTGTGTGTCATGATGACAAAGACAATTCTTCTCCTTGTCTGACAACTTCTGGCTGTACGACCGGCAACATAATGATGGCACTGAATTTCTGTTCTTCTTCGCTGCAGCCTCCACAGAAGCTCCTTCCCGCCCTCACCTCTCTACTGAGCAGGTCCTCATAAGTCGTGATGTCTTCCAAGCAAGTCTCCTGATAGGAAAGCGTGGTGAGCTCCCGAAAAATAAAGCCCTCACATCTATGTCTGCTTAAGGTGACTCTTCCTCCTGTGTCATTCCATATCACCTTTGTCCTCGTACCTCCTTTCTGCACGCGTCTAAGCGTCCTCATAAACACACACACAGGTGCACGTCGCCGCACTCAGCCCCTCCTTTGCTACAATTAGGTCACATCTGGAGTTTGTTTGCTCGCCAGCAAAATAACCCGCAATGCCCTCAAAATGAGGACGCGCATGTGCGTGTGTGTTTTTGTTTTTTTATGAGTTTTGTTTTGTAAAACAGTTGGGTGGCTTGCTTTAATGGAGACTGGGTGATGAACAGCCACTAAATGTTGGTCAAATTCTGCGGTTACATGATGAGGGATTGCATGTCACTGTTACGCGTATACTCTATGGGCAAAACTATTGGAACACATTCCATCTATTAGAAATGAAAAGTGAACTTTTGTGTTGTTCTCTGTATGCATTTTTAACAGCTTGCACTCTTCTGGAAAGTTTTTCTCCAAGATCTTGGAGCGTTTCTTTGGGAATTTTTGTCCATTCGTGTGGTCAGTGGTACAGATGTTGAACATGAGAGAAGCTTTTTACGCGGAGAAAACTAAAGGCCTTTCCGAAACTGTTCCCATTAAATTGGACACATCGATCCATCGATTTTATATAACGTTTGCTTTTTCAGTGTCACAAATAGACAGTCTTTCACATTCACACAGTTGCGAAGTTGCAATGCAGCCTACGTAGTTTTCACAGATGAACCAATACACTATCAGGGACAATGTTGGAAGCATATAATAGTCCAAAGTTGCTTGCTAAGATCAAGAATTAAGACCCAAGGACAACTGAGGGTTGCAGCCCATAATTGTAATTCATTGATTAAAATTAATTTACTGTGATTGGATGGCGACCAGCCCAGTGGGTACCCCATCTTGCTCCGAAAGTCAGCTGGTATAAACCCCAACTTATCCATGACCCAAATGAGAATAAGCGGTAGAGATTATGGATGGTTGGATAAACTAAGCCAAATAAAACTAACTTAAACAAAAATAAAACATCCAAATAGAGGACCCAAGCAAAGAAATGACATATGGCATGCAGTATATACAGTGGTTCAGTTCAAAATGTACAGTATTAATTGCACGCTGTACAAAACACAGTCAAAAGCTTGTGAATTTTTGATAGTTATTTTTTTGTATATTTTTATTCATTTAATTTTGGTTTGTTTGTGCAGCAAGGCAGAATAGTGGTGAACAGGTCTGTGTCATTGTTGAGAGGTCCTGGATTCAAATCTTGCTGCAAGTTCAGCTCCTTTAAAGTTCAACCAAACTTAACCTCTCATCCTTTCAAATAGTACAACTGGCCCGTACGCAAGCGTTACACAACAGTTAAAATCATACAGTAGCCTAATGGCTGCTGATGCGTGAGCATCTGAAGTCTATCTTCGCCCAGCACGTCTTTTCCGTCATGAGGTGGACCATGAGGTTTCATCGGGAGCTCTGCAGCATGTTGATAAGGATGGGTGGAACGTTTTTATGGGTCTAGTCCAGCTGAGTCACTAAAACGCCACCTGCTGGGTGGTAGATGACTAGACTGGATCACCATTAAAGCTAACAATAGCCTTTTCATCCTTGGGAAAACACATTGAGGGAATACCACGGACAAAAGATACATCATAGTGTCGTGTTAGCCTCTAAATCCACCTGTCTAGCTAGCTTATAACTCATTAATTTGGAACATTTTTTTTCACCCCTGAGCTCCACCTATTGTTGCCAAATGTCGCTTAACCCACTGTTGTCAAAGAGATGAAGGATCGAGGCAAACAAGAACAAAACTGGTGTGTTCTGATGTCATGCTTTCAAAAAGACTCGCTGAGCACGTTGACGTTAGCACCGATACTAGTGCTTGAACAACATGAGGGGTGTCCTGGCTGGTCTGTCATTAGGCTACTTTAGGCCAATTAAGTGGGTTGTAAATGGTTACCAATTGCTTTCAGGTTGCCGCTAACATTGTCAATATGGTTGTTTGCAGGGATAGACGATTATCAGCTGATATTCGGCACTTTTGCAGCATGTCGGTATGAGCTGCCTTTTGGAAAATTCTAACAGATGGTCAGAGATCAATTAAAAACTGGATTCTTTTGGCACTGCATCAGAGACAAAATGCTGGGAACTTCCTGCACTTTGTTTCTTTTGTTTTTCACTTAAAAGATGAAAGATTTGAAACATTAACATTTCCGTTAGAGTGAAATTTGAGGACGACACCATGGCTAACTAGTTAGCACGTCCACTTCACAAGGTCAAGAGTTCTACTTGTGCCTTTGTGGGTTTTCTATGGGTATTCCGGTTTCCTCCCACATTCCGAAAACATGCATGGCAGGTTAATGCAACATTCTAAATTGTCCCTCGGTGTGATTGTGAGCGCGAATGGTTATTTGTCTATATCTGGCCTGTGATTAGCTGGCATCCAGTTCAGGGTGTTCCGCGCCTACTGCTTAAGGACAGCCGGGATAGGCTGCAGCACGCTTGCGACCGTCGTGTGGATAAGCGGTTCGGATAATGGGTTGATGGACTAGTGAAATTTTGGAAAACATATTTAATCTTGAAAGCTGTATTTTTGGAAGTATTCATTTAACGTTCTAAGATGTGCTGTTGTTTTTCTTTGGGTTTCAAACAACTATTATTATTATTTTTGTCCAAACAATTTAAAATCACCTTTACAAGTTGCAAATCTGAAAAGCTATTTTACAAACTGTATGCTTGAATGCGTACAGTATACTGTAATCACATTTAATTGTTGAAGTTTTGATACGATTCAAAATCACTAGCAGTGACGATTTAGCACATTTTACTTTGTACACGTTGCTCATCCTGTCAAATAAGGCATCTTTTAATGGTGTAAAAATGTATTGGTTAAAAAAAAAGCCTTGTTACAGCAGAGAAATCATCTGCTAAATACTATTGTTTGTTAGTAATTCCAGTTTAAGGCATTCAACGTATAGACTACAATAGTGATTTATTTGCATGTGTTTTTTTTTGTGTCATTGATTCACCTGAAGAAAACTGCCCGCTGATGCCCCCTAAACTCCTTTCATAGAAGACTGAGAGTTATGCCTCTCTGCATTGTTATCACTGCTGTCATCTCAAACAATGAAAAACAGTGTGTGTTGCAGAGGTGGGGGAGGAGTATGCACAGGAAAGGAGGGAAACAACAGCCAGCTGCCGAGCATCACAGAGGAGGAAAAACAAGAATTATTGAATGCAAAGAAAGAAAGAGAAAGTTTGACACTGGGTCATCATGAATTGCATTCAACTGCTTTCAAGTCAACCAATCAATAAGGAATGTCAATCATTAAACCTATTTGATGGCATCACACTCAGGTCGAAATTGAGTCACTCAACATTAAAAAAAAATCTATCTATCTATCTATCTATCTATCTATCTATCTATCTATCTATCTATCTATCTATCTATCTATCTATCTATCTATCTATCTATCTATCTATCTATCTATCTACCTATTTATTAGGGAATCTCATCTATCTGTTAGGCTGCTCCCATTCAACATTCCGGCCATGTGTTGCCATGGTTATCCAGCACAGTGAGTTTGGGCATGTTGAGCACCCATACGCAGATGTGATGCAAGAGTAGCTGGGAATGAACTACCATAGTCGTATACTCAAGGCGGTGCAGTGCAAAACATATATTTGTTGTTGTTGTTGTTTATTGCATTTTGATTTCTTCTTATTTTCTAATGTGTATGGGAGCGCAGTATAGTAAAGTTTTGGGGTGGACGAGCAAAAAGTACAGTACAGGACAGCGCATTAAAAACGATGTAATCAAAGAAACAAATGGACAACAGGTTGTTGTCATTATCATTGAATGGTCACTGTCAAAAATACTTGATTTTTTTTTTTGTTTATTTTTTTTGGGTAAAGTTTGTATTATTTTGCAACACACTGACACATGTATTCCCAAAATATCAAAAAGGAAATTTTGAAAGGTTGTTTTGCTCAAACTTCTGGCCTTAACAGTAGACTAGTCAATACTTCCTGCAATTTACAGGAGCGATGTCCATCCATGCTTCCATTTCCTATAGTCCTTGTGAGCTGCAGCGTCTCTCAGCTGACTTTGGCCAAGAGGCGTGGCACACCCTGGACTGGTCGCCGGGCCATCACAGCTGCTGTATATTGAATATGAGAAAATGAATTACAGGAAAACCTTGGACTTAGTAGAATGACCACACTCTCATTTCAGTATTTAGTAAATATACTGTATTTTGACTACTACCATAAAAAAACTGAGATATGAATTTAACTAGAAATAATAGATTGAATACAGTATTATTTTAGTGAGTGAAAGTCACAAAAAGAATCCGACTGAGGTTGTTTTTTTTCTGCCTGTTTTCTCACTAACTGTACTTGTAATTGATGAATGTTTGTTTTGTTCAACCACACTTGTTTTCATGACTGAGTCTGTAGAATTGAATCAAAACATGTACTGTATACGTTTTTTTTCTCCGTTTAGAACGGAACCAACAGTATGCTTCCTGACCTGCAGATGACAGCACATACCTTAACAGTCTGAACCGTCTCCACACCACCAACCAAACAAAGAAGTAAAAGTGTACGCATTGCATTCTGGGATATGTTTTGGACTACAATGGCGGTGTGGAAGCGACAGACTCACGCTCTCACGCTGGCCGGTTTTCTTTGTTCATTCTTACAACAAACTTCTCTGGCGGCTACCCAAGAACTGCAGTGGGATGATAACGGATATGTCTTGTACTGTCCGTGCATGGGTAACAAACGTTTTTAATTTAAGGCAGCTTTTTAACTAGCACAATTACCCATCATAGTTAAAACCTATTGTAAGGACAGAACTTTTTTGGGGAATAAATCCATTTTTTTGTAACAATACATCGAGGTCGAAAGTTACAGTTTAGTTCCACGATACATTTTACATTCAATAAAACAAAATATTCCGCGAACATTGAAACGTGTTTCTGTGTTCAGGTCGCTTTGGGAACCAGGCTGACCATTTCCTGGGTTCTCTGGCTTTTGCGAAGATGTTAAACCGAACACTGGCAGTCCCTCCGTGGATTGTTTACCGGCATCACAGCTCGCCTGCCGCTAATGTAATTTCTGTTCTCTATTTGCTGTCGTGTCTGATCCACGTTATGGACAAAAGCACTTGAGTGTAAAAGACAACATGAAGAGACAAGGAAATATGAAGTTGGGAAAAATGATCTTGCCATGTCCACAATTATTATTTTTGCTTGCTTTGTTTAATAATCTTTACAATACATATACATTCATGAACAGTTGGAGGATGGGATACCTTTGAAACAAGCCACGTAGGCTCTACCTTTTACTTCTACTTTACTCGGGTCATTCCAGTTTAAAGAATGTCTAAAAATCACTTCTGTGAATAATGTCATGAGTTTTATGATCTATGATTTTTTTTCCACGACGATTCATCCAGGTCCATGTTCCATACAGTGAGTTCTTCAAACTTGAAGCCTTGTCGGCCTACCATCGTGTGGTGGCTTTGGAAGTCTTCATGAAGGAGCTTGCTGACAAACACTGGCCAGTAGGACAGAGGAAAGCATACTGCTTTGAGGCAGCGGCTCAACGGAGTGCAGATGGACGATCCTGTCCCATGAAGGTGAGGGTACAGTGGAACGGCAAGCTTGTGTGTTTAGGTGTGGATGAGGAGGGATCCCAAAATGGATAGCTTGGTCGACACATAAAGATGAATAACCCTTAACCCTTAAAAGAGGCTTAAATGTGAGTAATCGCACATGAATATAATGTGCAATCAATATGACTAAAAGAAAACATCACATACTTAATAATATCTCCACCAACAATCAAGTCAAATTACTTCCTATGAGGATATTTTGATCGCTAATTCATTAAAACCTAAATTAGCTCGTTCCCCAACCAGAAGTAAAACAGATTTTGCACTGACCTGTGAGACACAACATGGTCCCACGGGCAAATAAGAGTAAACAGTTGTAGAAGTAAAAACTTCACATAACTCTTCTGCAAAGTGACAAAGATGGAATGATCCCACTCAAGTTTTAAGTGCCTCGTTTCAAAGGTGGGGACAGAACAGGGCTATTAATGGTCCAAATTATCTTCATGTGTCCTACACATGGCTTCTGAGTGAGTCATTTGTTTTGGCATTTTGTGAAATGGAGTCCAACGCTGCCCTCTAGTGGTCCGTCCATCACCTCACATATCACTCAGCTCATCCTCGTGCTTCTTTCAATTTTACTGCCGTACGCCCGCGTGACTTATTTAATTGTGTCGATGTAAACAGGTGGAAACACAATTATCTACCTTCTGCCATCTAACGGAAGAACATTTAATTGTTGGGCTTTTTATTTCATTTTGCGGGCAGTCATAGCTACAAAAAAGAGTCATACGTAAATAATAGTTTTTGAACCATTGAAGAGAATTAGGATAATGTGCCAAGGCATAGTTGTTAGAAATAACTACTCCATTGTGTGTGGATGGTTCTGCTCTTTTCAGGATGGTAATCCATTCGGTCAGTTCTGGGACTATGTTGGCGTGGAATTTGACGAGTCGGTGTTATTTAGTGGTATTTCCTTCAGTGCATACCACCAGCAGCAGTGGATGGAGAAGTGAGTACGCCTTTTATTTGACTTTCATTAATGTTGTGAGCCGTGATGGGAATTGATGAATTGTTCAATGAGGACACTTGTCCTTTGTTTATAATTCATTTTGATTAATTGTGTCTTGAATTAAGTTAGTGGTTGACTTGGCTGCAACTAGCAAAGGTGCTGTTGATTTACTTTAGACAAGAAACTTGGTGTGGGTGACATTGTGTAAATATGCATAATTACAAATGGCTCTCTAACAGACACATTTTCAGACAGATAAAAAAAAAAAACCCACAAAGATTGATATGGTTGTTTAGGTTAAAAGTTGATGAGTGGACAGCCACTCCAGAGAGACTATTTTAACGAGCAAATTTTTCATAGTGTGCAGTACCTGTCAAACCATCTATTGATTTTTATTTTCCTCATCATCAAGCATGACAATTTGTGAAATGTTCATACCGTGCTTTAATTTTTTTCGTTAGATGCTCCTTAAGCGTTGTTCTCAATTAAATTTGTCAAGGTTCCAATATAACCCCTCCCCTCCATGGTCTGCTAGGTTCCCACCCAACCGGCACCCAGTCTTGGCCCTGCCCGGAGCTCCTGCCCAGTTCCCGGTGGTGGAGGAACACGTTAGCCTGCAGCGTTACGTAGTTTGGTCCGACAAGATGGTGGCAGAGGGACAGGAACACATCGCTGCCGTCCTGACTCGGCCCTATGTTGGCATTCACTTGAGGATTGGCAGTGACTGGGTGAGATGCCGTTTGAGGTTCGGCTCCCACGAGCATATGACTACATTGTACAATGTTCTTTTAAAATAAAAAAACAATCACTGAGGCTACGTTTATATGATGATCATCTGAACAGAAGACGCAAAAGTGGCGTCTCTTTTTCCACTTTTTATTTTACGTTTATATGAGCCTTCATCATAGAAACTATGCATGCATACGGTGACGCAAGGGTGTACGGCAGTATTTTTAAAGGTTGCTATGAACACGGATAATTTTGTATCTGAAAATGTATCACCATGTATTTTGCCTTTCCTTGTTTGTGCTCCCTAAAGCAAAACGCCTGCAAATTGCTGAAGAGCGGCGATGCGGGGCCCCATTTCATGGCCTCCCCTCAGTGTGTGGGCTACAAGCGGCAGACGGCGCTGCCCCTCACCATGACCATGTGCCTACCCGACCTGGCCGAGATCTGCAGGGCCGTAAAGCTGTGGGTGGAAAGGACTTCGGCTCGCTCGGTCTACATCGCCACCGACTCGGAGTCCCACCGCAGCGATATTGAGAAGCTCTTCAAGGGCAAGGTGATGAAACTGTTGGGCAAAAGTCACTTCCACTTCTTCATTGCAACTGGCTTATGTCTGTCGCACCGCTTTCTGGAATGATTGTAAAATTTGTACATAGTAGCTGATCATGTACAACATGGTTCCACAACTGAATCCAGCCTTAAAGGAGGCACGCTATGCATCATTTTCCACAATTTCAAACTGTTGAATTCCTCTTGAGGGATTAAATAAAAATGTTGTCATCTCTGTGCAGGTCAAAGTGGTGAGTTTGCGGCCTGACTCTCCCCAAGTGGACCTGTACATTTTAGGCCAAGCGGACCACTTTATTGGGAACTGCGTCTCATCATTTACTGCCTTTGTGAAGAGAGAAAGGGACGTGCACAAACGTCCCTCCTCCTTTTTTGGCATGGACCAATCTGGGCATGGTGAACCAGTCTGCACCAGTACTCAATCTGCATCAGAAATGCTACGGCAACACCACTTGGACGAACAATATTGCGGCAATCCAGAACTGCCTCTGTCCTCGAGCTGCAGCAAAGACGTGAACTAAATACAGCCGTATTAAAAAAAAAAAAAAACTGACGGAGATATAAAAGGGAAAACTACTCTAAATAGACACAACGCAGGGGAAAATTGCTGCGTGGTAACTACAAACGGTCACAACAGAAGTAAACCCAAAGATAAAAATGACGCAAATGGTGCGTCTGTTTTTGAAGTGTGCTGGGTTGAGAATTCAATAACAGCTCAACAATAGCTTGACACTTTAAACTAGTGATTCCCAACCGCTGCCCCGCGGTGATAGAGCATCACACTTTTTTTTAAGTATCCACTTTTACTTAATTGGTCTGAAAATTATTCACACATTCCAAGTAATGCGTCTGTGTACCGCTAGCTGTGTATCATTAGCATTTCGCGACAGGCAGAGCAATTTCATGCGCATCCTCTAGATGGCAGAGAATATCATTAACCTGGAGATCCACCTGTTGCCATTTATTCAACAGATTAGTTTGAAGCAGGGGCATCCAAACTTTTTGCTTCAGAGGCCGCATAGGGAAAAATCGAAAGTGGTAGGAGTCATTTTGATATTGTCGTACAATATTAAACCATTAATCCAATTAATGAAACGATTGTGTATTATAGTTAGCTTGTTGTTGTTGTTGTTTGTTTTTGTTTAGTTATTTTTAATAACCGTTAAAGGTGTCAAGGCCTACAGCCCTGAGCAACTGTTTACGTTCAGAACCAAAGCAAGAAAAATCGGTAATAAAATGAAAATTTTTAAATGAGTGTTTTCTTGAGGACCTTAGTTATTAGTTACGGTAGTCATTAATCTGATACGTTCACAAATCATAACCCTAGACACAGACAGCAGTAAGTGGAGGAGAGCATTACTGTATTGGACTTATGTCCTGAAGATCACGTTTCGTAATGTGTTATAGAAAGGGACATGTTTTACAATAATAGTCTTTTTTTTTAAACCCCATTTAAAATGTTGCTAAACAAGTTTGGATATTTGAAAAGCCCCACAAAAAAGTATATCTTATTTTCTTTTTCCACATGCGATGCTTCATTGCACAAGCGGACAATGAGACCAGTCAAATCTGACTTGAAAATTAATACTGTAATTATAATAATGCAAAGTTTGATTGACGCTGTCCCAGAGGTGTTAACTGACCAATACGGCGCAATATTGTAGTTTGAAATACATCATACTGAGAGCTCTTGCTCAGTACAGTAGCTCATATAGCTAAATTGATGGCAAAACACCCCCTGAGAACACAGGTGTCAAACTCAAGGCCCGTGGGCAAGATCCGGCCCGCCAGGTCATTTTATCTGGCCCGCAAAAGCAGATCATGTGTGTCAACTTGCTAAGATCTGTACTGTAATGTCAAATTGTCATGTGTGATAAATAACATTGATATTTTGTAGTAATTTTGCTACCCAGTTTAGACTCACTTGAACAAACTATTATAATTGACTTGACTGATATAAAAACTAATAATCTATTCATTTGTTATTTGTTGTGTACAAGTAATAATTTTATAGTTTCACTGTCATCGGCCCTCCGAGGGAAGACATAACTCCAAATTGGCCCGCGACTAAAATGAGTTTGACACCCCTGCCTTAGAATGATTAATTAGAATTATACATCACTGCAAACTAAAAACATCAATAATCATTGTATATAATGCAAGTGTATCTCAATAAATTAGAGTATGGAATGAAAAAAAATATATATATATAAATTAAACGATTAAAGCTTACAGCTAATCCCCATATTCATCATCATTTTAGGAAATTACATCATATGGGACTGTGTTCGTCTTGTAAAAGAAATTCGTTGAAACCAAAATTAGGTAGAAATTGCCCTTCTGAAATGTTTTCCTATTCCCATATAATTATGATTTACACGTTTTAAATGGACTTTCTCACGGTATGCACACGTATTAAGACGCACGTGATAATAACTTAGTACAAAAAAAAACAATGTATTATGAACATATATGTATATGGCCACTAGGAGGCGGCATAAGCCCACTCGTGTGTGAGCGTGCGTGTTAAAAAAACACTATTATTTCTTATTACAACCACCACGGTCTTAATTTCCAGCAGCACAAAATCACATACCGTCAGATCTGACTTTAGGATTGATAGATAGTATATACAACTAATATGGTAAAATAAATCCACCAGTATTTACTATGGTCTGTGATTGAAGCCGTGAGGGAAGCCGCCGCTGTCTGAAGTGTTGCTGTGGGCTCGTCTGGAGACGTTGGGGACTTCCACATCAAATATTCATCCCCTACAAACTCAAGCCTTCAATAATTCTCAAAGAAGTGCGCTCAGAGAGAGCCCCTTTCATCCCAGGCAAACAGCATACCTGGACAATGGAAGCAAGAGAGCGTCAAGAAGTGGAGGGGAGGCGGGGTGTTACTGTGGGTAGACGAACATTAAAAAAAAAACCCAGCACATTCTTCATGAGCTTGCTGGCAAACGAAATCCATGGAAACTGGAAAAAAACCCCCACAATGTGGCTCAAAGCAGTGGCAAGGGCTCTCTTCCATGAAAAATACAATTTAAGGATGGCACAAAACTTCTGAACAAGAAATAAACATGAAGTGTATGACGTATGAAGCGCCACAAAGACACCTCTGCCATCTAGTGGTCATTGATGATCATTTTTTCATATTTCTAATTTTTTGCACAGGTTTTCAGGAATTTTTTGGTGTGGTATACCGTAGCTTAGTATTTGTGTATGTGTCCTAGAATGAGCGGTTTTACTACCAAATTAGTCTGTACTCACAACACTGTCAATATGAAAAAGTTCACTACACAATGCTAGAGGTAGCATCAGACTTGAATGGTTCCATTTTTAAGAGGCAAACTGGAACCATAGCCGGGACCAAATTAATACATACATCCTTAACCTGTCACAGCTAAATGTATTTGTTTGTATCAAATTATTTTGATGATCTAGTTCAAACATTTGATTTCATCCCAATCCAAAGTGTACTACTTTGCTTTCGTGAAAATGTACACGAACAGAGGGCAAACATATAATTTACTCGAAAAACTATTTGGTTCTTTTTTTTTCCAATTGCTCCTTTTCCACTTTGAATCAAATTTCCCTATCCTTTGTTCATTTATCCCCTTTGGTCCTTCCAGTCTTTGTTGTTTCTTTCTTCTTTCCTGAGACGGGATTCAAACCCACAACCGAAGCATTATGCGGCACACTTGCTAACCACTCAATCCCGGTGCCCTCTATCTCTGTTTCCAGTGCTTTTCATCGTTGACACGTTTCTTATTTCCTTTTCTCTTTCTTAACTGGAAGGATCCAAATGCAATGACGGCCACATCATTGACGATGTCATATTTTAACCCCTGTGGATGTGTCAATGAATGACTTTGCCGCCTCTGGTGAGTTTTTTGGCAGGTGGTGTGTCGACATGACAGGCCCGCCCTGTCCCGCCCTACCCCAGCAGATAAGAGCTCAGCATGGAGAATCAGACAACGGCGAGCAGGAGGGAATGAGCCATGAAAGAAATGGGAGGTGATTATCTTTTATTGTCAGCCAGGGGAGTAAGTGTGCAAATGACGACTTGCGAGGGTGGGCATCAGGGGTGCTTGGAAGAGAGGCGTGTGATGTTCAAGCTGTCGTGGCATCCTGCTGATTGGCCTGCCGGTAATTAACATCTGCATATGCAAAGGAGTGATTCAGATTTCTCTCCTGAGCCCCGAAAGCAGCAGTTAAATTGATGAGTTTAGGTGTGTACGCACAAAGAGCCACGTCTCCCAACCTTTACTGAGAAAAGGCAATTATTTGACATTAGAAACGTCTCGCGACACACCACCCAACAAAAATGTAAAAAGTGTAATATGGATGATTTCTAGTAAATAACATATTTCGGACCCAACTGTTTTTTTCTGGAGCTCGCATCAATGGAGGAGAAGTGCCCTTTGATGGTAAAGAGTTGATGTTAGCGAGCAGCGTAGCGGTTACATTTTGCTAAATTACTTAAAGACAACCCAAGAAAACATTTTACAGATACACTTTGTACAACTATTTCTGGTCACTTAATTTAGGCTCTTCACCAATAGGTTCCGCTGGAATAATTAGGAATTTTATTATTTGTTAAGTAAATTAAAAACAACCTAGATCTTTTGGGTTATATCTGGTGGCGGAACCCCAAACACAAGTTTTTGTCTTTACTTTCTGTTGAAGTGACTCACTTTCTGCCACCTTAACCTGGCGCCTACTGTTTTACAAAAATGAAAAGGTCCCCAGACAAGCATTCAAACGCATATCCAGTAAATTTAGAGTATTGACTCGTTTTTACGAATTGTGGGAGGAAGCCTGAACCTCAGAACTGTGAGACAGAGATGCTAACGGCTGGAACCAGTCTTGTATTAAGTATCAGAAAGTGATATTTGAGTGAAATTACAAGGACCTTAACAGAAAATAACTTGGTAATGGTAAAAGTCAACTTGTAGAATATTAATTGGGTAAAGATCTTTAAGTAGCTGTATTGAATACAAACCAAAAGTAATTTTATAACATGAAATGTACTTACATTTTGGAAGTAAAGGTATTGTTAAAAAGTGAGTGTTTAGAAATGTCATTGTTGTTCTCTTTGCTTTAATTTAAACTTTTTTTTTTTTTTTAACTTAGACAATGGTCAGTAGGTAAAGGTCTGTTTTGGCTAATGAGCTAAGTTAGCTAGCACACGTTAGCGTGGCCGTCACACTACTCATACACGCCAAAACCAACCCATCATAACTAAAAGAGCATTGCCATTTCGACTTCAACAGAGTCATAGAAATGAAAGATATGCTTTTTCAGGTTGACTGGGGAATTTTTGAAGCTTCATAAATGCCATTCAGGATATGAAAAGCATTTCTGTTAACACGCCCTTCGGTGTGTAACGTGATCCTCGTTATCACCACAAGAGAGTTTCCATTCTAGTTGTTTTGGTCGTCATCTGCTTGCTGGCGGTGTTGTGTGAGCAGCAGAGTCAGCGGCAGGAGCTTTCATCTTATCAGTGCTCCGCACAGGTAATTTGCATGCCTGGTCCTGGACAGGCAGGCAGGACAACTTTTTTGCTTCGGTGCTCTGCGGTTCAGGCATTTAGGCAATTAGTAATTTCTTGATTTATTTTGCAGTGACAAGTAAATAAAATGATTAAGGGAAGTGTAACTGGGTGGCAGAGGGATCGACTGGTTATCACGTCCGCCTCACAGTGCAGAGGTGCATGGTTCGATTCCGGCGCTGGCCTTCCTGTGTGGAGTTTGCATGTTCTCCCCGTCCGTGCCTGTGTGGGTT